CTCTCTCTCTCTCTCTCTCTGTATACATTTCCCTTACCTGTTTCTACTTTACAAGTTGTTAGAATCCTGAAAGATCCTTGATGTCGGATGGTCTGTTTTCGTTTCCTACTCTAAGCGCTAAAGGCTGTCCACTCAGCAGCAAACTAAAATTTTGTTAATCGTTAGAAATCTACTCCAACAAGCTGAGTTCTTGTCGGTTCCCTACCCGGCCTTCGAGTTGTCCGAAACTCTGCCTGAGCCGGCTTTTATATGGTCCGAAAAGGAAACTGTCCTAAAATTACATCCTATCCGCCAATGGGATGCAAAAAGGTAGATACGTTTCCTCTCTCTCCTGGGCCGAGCAATACATCTACATGCTTGGCGTTGTGCGGCTTGTCTATCTGGGCAGATCGTTGTTGGAAGTGATTGATGGCGACAGCTTTGTCACTAGAGCCTCGCTGTACGCATGAGGGACCCCATGACGTCATACCCACGTCACCATCCTGGTTCTCTTCCGTAAAAGCAGCGACAGTGTATGTCAATCAACACTCTAGTCTTACATATTATCTCCCCCCCGAAAGGCAGCGAAAAGCAAAAGAAAAAATAGAAAAAGAAAAAAAAAACCAGAAAGAAATTAGAAGAAAAAAACTAGGGTCTGCCGTCCGACTCTGAATAATTATATCATTTCTTCAGCCTGGTGTATCTTGCGCTGCGGTTTACCTGTCAAGGAGGATAATGTTCAGGAAAGAGTTGACAATTTAAATCTTCATTATCCGAGAATTACAGTTTATGTTGGCCATGGCTATATGAAATTGTAAGTACGCTCAACCGGATTCTGCTGAATGGGACAGATGGGGCTAGGGGGGAAATGGTGGGGGCGGGGGCGTAATTGTTTTCATCCCTAAGGTTAGTGATGGATTGAAAAAACAAGAATTGTGCCGGAAAGGAACAGGAAAAAGTATCTACTCACAAACGAGGTGTATGGAGGCGTAAGGCTCTAGTGGGGTGGAGGTGGGGGAGGGGGGAGAGGTAGGATGTGTGGCTATGGGTGAACAATGAAGTCAATAAAATGTTAGTTCTAAAGGATTTACAAGAGCTCTTTTTTACTTGCCTTTTCAGCCCATCATTGTTTAGGTTTAATGCTCTTTTCAATGCTGTAAATTTTTTTAGGCTGAGAGGAGGTATCTTCGAATTTAACGCCAATCTCTCCGATGGGAGTGAACCGAATGTGTGGAGAACCTTGACCACTCTCCAAAACAACCCAAGGCCACTTTCCATTTCCCTCCTTGAGCGTTATTTTACATTATGATAATACCCTGGAAGACTCCCACTTTACCTGTCTAAGACAACTAGATCTATTATATTTTCCTCGATAATGGGTGGCCGTCTTAAACAATTTCGACTTTATATCTGTCAGGGCCAACCCGGCTTGGAGGGATGTTGTGTCTTTAAGCTTTATAAAAAGTTGGCGATACTCTATAAATCCTATGCGAGAATCGAATTTACGTCTTTTTCGTACCACATGCTAACAGAGGAGAGCGTTATCATTGTACCACAGATGCTGGATCCTTCATGATTTTGAGAGTTTCTTCCAGCAAAATCAGCCAAAGAAGCAAACACGGGAAGATGATTACTTAATATCAGAACAATGAATAAGAAAACATTTCTGACTGTTTCTCAAACAATAAAACATGTCATCAATTCACGAGATTCGGGTAGAAAAATAGTGATTAAAACAACGTGAACTGAGATGTATCGTAAGCTCAGATTTCGAAAAACCAATTTTCAAATCGCCCACTTCTATCTCCTGACCTTGATTTCGCATGGCTCCTACGCCTACTTGCGCAGCAAACAAGATTGACTTAACTGTTCAGGAGCGGGAAAGACAACATACTTTTCTCAATATCGTTTTGTTTGTTGTATATCATTTGCAACATTGAGAGAAACAGTTTTTGTTTGAGCCTCAGGCACAGGCTCAAACAAGACACGAAAAGGACCCCCCCCCCCAGAAGACTGATGACTTCATTAAAAAAAAAAAAATAAAGACCTAAGTCATGGAGTTCTTACAGACTTCACTACCACCACCTTCAATGTCATCATGATGCCTTGTGATCACCATCCTTATTATTTTTTTTCAGAAAGTGTGCTGTCGGCAAGCAGTTAAAATGTAATAAACCCAGAAAGCTAAATTTCTGAAAGAAGAATCGGTTTCACTCTGGTACCAAAAGTAAAGGTTTTTTTTTTTTTGGTGTTGCTTTTTTTCAACATTTAGAATTTGAATCTCGACAAATTAATATTTATAAAGCAGACACAACCAATATCACAGAATAAGACACTGCCAAGACCCCCCCCCCCCAAAAAAAGGCAACAAAAAAACAAAAATAAAATAAAATAATTATTTTAACAAATCTGAAGCCTCTAGGCGGTGTACAATTATTTAAAAAATGGCTGACAATGTTGGGCCTGACAAACCGATGGATTCCCCCCCAACTTTTAATTTTAAATGCTATTATTTAAATTTTAAGCAAGTCTATATTTTTTATTGGCCTCAGCTTATGAAACTGGGAACAAGGGAAACAACTCTAAACTCTAAACACAAAACAGACAATTATAACTTTTTTTCTTTTTTTGGTTTTTTTTTTGGGGGGGGGGGGGGTCATTCCACGATAAACGTAACGTGAATCATTACCGGGCCGGACTTCTTTGACTTCGTCTGCCGTATCTGACCCGACATAAAAATACATAATAAATAAACAAATGAACAAACTGCACTCCATTGATCCCCGTGTGAGATATTTGAGTTACAATGGCAAACATACATTAATGAATAATTATTTCAACACACAAATGTACGTCATCATCCGGTGCCTTGCCGACTGGCGTGGGCGATCATGGACCTCCACTTCCATCTGTCTTTCGAAGCAGCAATGGTGTCTGTTGTTCTTGCTGCT